AGGAAGTGATTGTCCCCCTGCGCTGGGCATTGGTGAGGCTGTGCCTTGAATCCTGTGCTCAGTTTTGGGCCCTTCTTCACTACAAAGAAGACATGGAGATGCTGGAGCATGTCCAGAGAAGGGCAGCAGAGCTGGGGAATGGTCTGGAGCACAAGTCCTGTGAGGGACGGCTGAGGGAACTGGGGGTGTTCAGCCTGGAGGAGGCTCAGGGGCGACCTTATTGCTCTCTACAACTACCAGAAAGGAGGGTGCAGAGAGTAGGGGGGGGTTGGTCTCTTCTCCCAAGTGACAAGCAACAGGACAAGAGGAAACAGCCTTGAGTTGTGCCAGGGGAGGTTTAGATTGGATAACAGGGAAAATTTCTTCACTGAAAGGGCTGTCAGGCATCGGAACCAGCTGCCCAGGGAAGTGATGAAGTCACCATCCCTGGAGGTGTTTAAAAGTGTAGATGTGGTGCTCAGGGACATGGGTTAGTGGTGGACTTGGTATTAGGTTAAGAGTTGGACTAGATGATCTTAAAGGACTTTTCCAACCTAAACAATGCTGTGACTTTATGGCCCTCTGGCCACAGGGTGAGCAGTAAATTCACTCCACTGGCAAAAGGATATTTACTTTTTTGCCAGAGGTCATTTTCCTGTAATTTCACTGAGCTGACTCAGCTTGCTTTGCATCAAACCTGTGCTAGTTCAGGACAAGCAGTGGTGGTGTCAGCCAGAAGCAGACTGGAAGGGCAGGAGATGACAGCAAAGACCAGAGAACTGTCTCATTCCATGGTAGATCAGGTAGTGTCAGAAAGGTGTAAATTTGCTCAACTTCCACATAATTTTCAAGATGGATGAAATCCAGTAGATACAAACTTTTTTTTTTCTTTGTACCTGGGAAGTCTATAGCTCTAGTCGTAATACAGTAAACAGATGACATAGAAGACATTTTCCAAAGAACTGAGATACTATTTTCCCAAGACTTTTACAAATAATGAAGCATCTATGCCCCACCAGCTGTACTTTACAAGTTGCAGTTCGGTTGACTGATGAAAAAGCTTCATTGGACGTTCAAATACAGGAGATTCTGGTGTTCTTTGGGGAGTTTTAACCAGCTGGCTCAGCTCATCGTGTGTGGTAATTTGCTGTGCTCCAGTATTTGCTCTGCCTAGTTGCTCTCATCTATCCCTCCTGCCTCTGCAGAAGTTTATCCTCATTGCACAATGCCTACCTTTACTTCAGATTGAAATCACCATTACCAAAGGAGGAATTCCTGCTTGCCACCTTGCTTTTGCATGCTGGTGCTGGTCCTCACTGGAGCGATCTTGCTCGCTTCACTAGCCTTAAGAAAGTAGGTATTTTTTGGCCACATTACTGTGTTGAATCTTCTCACCGAAGGTCTGGTGAAAGTTAACGAAGATGGAAGGGTACAACACCTGGTTCAGTTGGCTGGTTTGTCTTGAAGACTTCATCCTCAGTGACTGCAGTTCATGGTTCTGAAGGGAATTGGAGCAGTGAAGTATGAAGCTTTTGTCCCACGTAGAGCTGCCAGTGTTAAAAGAAACCATGACCCTTTTTCCCTGTTGATAGGTGCTACATGCCATGAAGAAGAGTGCATGCAGTTACCAACTCAATTTTAAAAAATCAAAAGGGTTGTTAGAGGATTTTTAAACTTTTTATCCTAGGCTGAATTAGCATTTTCTCTTTGCTGTGATTAACCTGCACAAATGTTTATTTGGAAGTTGTTTTATGAAATAATGCAGAGAGTAGCAGAGTTAAAAAATATTGCTACCCCTCCTCCACCAAAATGACAGCACTTAACATCCCAGTTAGAATTAAAGTATAACCAGTGATGAGTGCATTCAAAAGGCTCTGTCAGACGAGGAGAAGGAAGTATGTTCATAAGATTAAGTCACAAGAACTGTTTACACAGTTCAGAAATTACTGGTAACAGTCAAAAGTTACCACCTGAATCAAGAGCAGGGTATTTGGGAAGATGTGCTTAAGATTTTTGAGAGGAAAACACATCCAAGTTCTTGACTGTGAAAATGACAACAGGGATAAATTTGCATGTGATCAGAATTAATTGAAAGACAATTATAGTATAGAAAGAGCAAGCATGAAGTGTTTGAAAGGTGGCTTTTAAACCTGGGGTTTGCTTCCTGTTCTCCGAACCACATGGAACAAGTGGGGATAGCAGCAGTAAAACTTCTATAGGCTGATGAGACTGTAGATAGAAAAGTTTGTTGGTTTTGTCTGGTTTGTTTTTTCTTTAAAAAAAAACCAAACAAATTTAAATGAACCTGTACTGTTGATCAGACTAATCAGCGTTGCTAGTAACTTCCTACTGGTAATTAATGAGGCTCATTCATGGTAATCTGTGGAAAGAGAAGGAATTTTCCTATGCTTTCGGAATTTCAAATACACTTTTTAAGGGCAGATCAGCCTCCAACACTCTAGTTAATGTAAGCAGGTATCATTTAAACAATAGAATACTCTAAATCAGGTTTGGCAACAGCATTGTGGTAAATAATATGGCAGAGCATTATACCTTTTATTACCTGACGTGATCAGTTATTTTAATTTTTGGCTGCAATCCCAGTTCAGCTGAAGCCAACAAAAAGCTTGCCAGAGACTTCGATAGGACCAGAACCAAGTGCTTCATGACTCACGTTCTCATGAACTGCTGTGAGGCAGTGCACCTCCATTTGGTACTTTGGTTTTAGTCTTCTAATGAATTCACAAAAAACCCACATGCACAAACAAACAAAAACCCAAACAAAAAATAGAAATACATACTGCTTATAATACTATTCATCAGAGGATTTGTTAAACCGAATAATAGGCTTTCTTTTACTGATGCAGAAAACAGGTGAAGTGATTATTTTTCAGAGCCAGAGACCCCTTTTCTGACCCTCGGTTGTTGGCTATACCTAATAATCTGATTTAGGAAAAACTGCATGCTCTAAGCTTGTATGGTGGTGAAAGGACAACCCAGGAAGTTTTTGGAGAATTTCAAGGTGATGGCTAGCAGCATTTAGTGTGACATGTTTTAAACCTGTTCTGAGAGAAAGAGAATATAAGCACTATCTAGTTTTCCCCAGCGTTTGTTTAGACACTTCTGTTTTCAGCTGTCCTAGCAGATCTCTGTTAATTCACTTAAAATCCAGTGCCAGTATCTTCAGGGTCTAAAGTGCAGATTCTTTGAGCAAATTTGAAGTGTTCTATCCCACAGAATACGCTGTTTACTGCCCAAAGAGCTACAGCATTGATGTTTAACAGCTACACTGTCTTAAGGTTTTTTTATTAATTATGAAGGTGAAGATTTTTGCTTGCATTGCATGGAATTATTTGCAAACTATTTGAAGCTGCAAAGAGGTTTGTGAGTTGTCAAAAGCCAAATCTGATGCTGAAGGTTTAGGAATAAGAACACAGTCCAATGTCTACTCCTATTAGCTGGGTTGTATATATTTTTCAAAGGGCAAGACCTCTTTGTGTAGCAGTTTCAATATACCCTCTTTATATTCCAAGATTTGGAGCATATTCTTCTTTACAAAAGCATTTACAAATTAAAAATCTCATAGCAATCCCCTGCATCTCACTCAGTAGTGATGCAGGTGCTAGTGTGTTAAAAACCGTAACATTCAGTGAAAAGTTACATATAAATACCCAAACTTTATATTATAAAGTGCACTTCATAATTTAAATACCATTTGCTGCTGTCAGCATTGGTCAGATGGGGGGGTGGGGCGGAGGGGTGGTAGTGTGTTTGGAATGTGTTGTGTTTTAAAAAAACCTTAATTGCCTGTGCCCAACTATATAGCTACTGTAATAGAAGAAAACATGAGCCCAACATGTTGCCTGTGGGACGCCGAGTACGTTTTCCTGTGGCACTGGGAAGCCTTTACTACTATGGTGTCATCGGACTAGGAGGCAGAGGGACAGCCGTTTTCATCTGTGACTTGCTTAGCCAGATCTGTAGGACACATAACGCTGCGGGTTGATACTTTACCAAGATGTAAAATTAAGGGTGACTGCGACTGGAAATAGAGAAATTGTGTTGATAGTTAACCAGTAACTCCCTGAAATTCTTGACTGGATACTGGTTATTTATCCAATACTTTATTTCATCCTACTTAGAGGTAGGATTTTGTCATCCCAGTAGGGCAATATGTACTCATGCAGAGTGCTTCTGTGGGGTGGTTTGGCCTTTGATTTGACAAGCTAAATGTCTTTTTCAACATTTTTAACTCCAAGAGAAACATTATCTGTGAAACCTGGGTACTTTTTTAAGAAGAGACAAATCTCTAGCTATTTGCTTAACATCCTCTGACCCACAGTACTCGTTCAGCACTAAATATCAGGTGGAAGAATCAAACCCCTTTGTTAAGAGCGTACTTTCTCTGAATGCGTAACGGGCTGTGCAATTAACGGTTCCTTTTCCTCCAAAATTATAATCACAAAAATACAACAGAGTAGTGTGTCAACCAGCAATGTCTAAAACAAACCAGTGTCATGCAGAAGCAGTAGTATATATACATTTGGAAGATCAAATCAGGAAATAATTTTCATACAGAAATTATTACTAGACTGAATAGAAAATCCAACAACAAAGCAGACTGCTTATGGTGGTTTAAAGTGTTGATAGTTGCAAAAAATGGTTAGTGTCAATAAACCCAATTAAAATACTGTTCCTTCCGAATAACAAAAAAGATGAAACTATTAATGAAACATCAGTAGTATGATGGGATGGCTCAAAGTGCATGCAGAAGAGGGTGGCAGTCCAAGATGTACTCTTCCTGCACTCCCTCCTCTTAGTGCAATAACCTTGCGCAAAGAACAGTCCTGCAGCCTTTGCAACAGGCCACCTCTTCTCCCAGATGGGATTTTCACTTGTTCCTAGTTGTGCTAGAGATCTCTCACATTTCTGTAAATTGTCTTGCAATATGCAAGGTAGCACACACTTTTTAAAAAAGTGTCTTTCAGTGATCCCCCCTCTCCCCGGAAGGAGGCTTGTGACTAAGGGGCAGGAAGGGACATTGACTTTTTAAACACCCATATCCCTTTTGGGGGCCCTGGGTAAGGGGGTGGTGGCACATTGTGTTGTCCATCTGAAGTAACTGCTTGCTCATAAGTTGGTAGTCCTGAATCATCAGTTCTGAGAGGAAGTGGGTTTAATGGAAACTCTTCATGCCTCCTGAAGATGCTAGATGAACTACGTCTTCTACTTCTTACATAATCCACGTGCCTAAACAAACATTATACAGCATTATAAGTGGCAGCTTCTGCTTTAAAGGGAAGAAAGAATATAACGTCTTACTTGTAAAAAGAAACAAACAACAAACCCCAAAATCCAACCACACACAAAATAAAAATAATTTTAAAAGCACCAAAAAACCCACAAAACAACAACAAAACAAAAAGTCACACACCAAAACCCACTTGCCTTCAATGATCATAAAGACCAGAAGCCAAATACTCTCTCCAGCCCACAGGGTAGCTCCGCAATACAAAATTTATAGGGAAGAGGAAGGACGGAATCCTCTCGTGTTGCTTTCACGTGTAGGACAGAGCAGGGCTGGAGAACTGGTAGAGAAGCATTTCCTCCAACCTACTTTGTCTCACATTGGAGCTAGACTACATGCCACAAAGAGCTTACATGCTGCTTCAAAGAGCAAACAGACCACGTGAGGCCCCGATGTATTAAAATGATTCTGTCATTTAGTAAGAATATTTTGGAACCAAGAACACCCAAAGAAGTCCCAAAGGTACAACAGCCATGCAAGTGTTGTTTCATGTTTCTGTGTTATTAACTTCAGCGTAACTACTGCTAGTGCTCACCTAACCTTGCTTGCAGGAAAATAACAACTAGAACTCCCACTGGATTCTCTGAGACTTGTTAGACCAACCCACAGTGATTTTTAAATTCCACGCTTAAGCAAGAGTGTGTTTTGGTGTCTGTGGGGTTGCTTTAAGAAGTGAAGTTCCTTACCCTGGTGGTTGCCTTGATTTGCATCTACTTTTGCAGCAGTAGAAGATAAGCAGTATGAGTATAACTAACAGTACTCCAGCAGCAACTAGGCTGATGAGAAGTCCCGTAACGTTAATCTTCTGTAGCGTCTCATCACCTGACGAGAAAACATTGGTTATTTTCATTATGTATTCTTTGCATCTACACAGCATGCAGTAGACACTGAAATACTCATTGTGCTGTGCTGTAAGGATGTTCCTTTCCACAAATGTCTAGCACAACCAAGGGTATCATTCACATTCAGCTTAAAGCAAAAGTGAGTAGATGTTCCCCTTTCTGTACATGCAACTGTTGAGATGTCTGTCTTCTGATGTCTTCCAAATATTCACTTACCTGTGGCCTAGGTCTTTCCTCAAGTCATACTGACCATTTTTTGATAAAACATCTGGCAAGAGAGTACTCTGAACCTGAGTCAGACCGTTATATTACTATTAAAAAAGGGGGTGGGTGGGCAGGGCAAACAAAACCAAACCGCACCCCAGAAAGCAGCCACACAATTAGTGCAAAGTTGACCAAATGTTTAATAAAACACAGAAACAGACAAATTAATTGGTACTGGTTTTACCTGCAGATTTATAATGGATCCCACTGTACAACACTTTGGTGAGTGTGCTTTATTGTATCAGATAATGGAATATACTTGCACAGTTCACTGTGAATTTCAGTATAAAGATCAATTCTGATTTTCCTAACTGAATGCGTGGTGTATTTTTAAGAATGCACTATTATAACAAAATATTGCAACCTAAGAAAATAATAAAAAGATGACTTACCTATTTTTATTTTAGGGCCTTTAGTTGAATAGTCTTTCCAAAATTCCATCTATAAAACACAAAGGATGTTATTTATGAGACTCATAACTGACAGTCTTACTGACAATTTTTTAGTATGGTACTGTGCACAAAAATTAATACTGACATAAACAGAAGCAGCTCCCACAGAAGGATTTGTACCTGCTTACCCCGCCGTATCTTTCTCATACACTTGATTTTGCATAAAAATTACAGTTTCACAAAGAAGAAAATGCCAGCTGCTGAAAGAGAAAGTGTATTTAACTGTCCAGTGTTACCTCTATTTCTGCCTGATTACAGCAGTTAGTGTATATTCTGACACTAAAAAAGTGCTTACAACTTATCTTTGTAAATCCCTACAGAAGAGTATTAATGAATCACAAAGTCAGGTTCTTGGGAATCAGACATTTACGTGAACAGCGTTTGAATTCCTGTCAGCTAGAAAAAATAACGCGATTCCAGCCAAGAGCCTTTGTGTTGCGTGACTGCCATGCTTTGCATGTGTTTAGCTATGATTTTTACTTTTGCTACCCAGCACAAGACTCCCATCAAGATATCTTTTCTTTTTCTTAGGAAAACGCTAGCAATGGCAAACTAACATTTCCACCTTCAGAACAGGAGCCTATTCCTTGCTCTTGCTGCAGGTTAATGCAGAGCACACCTATAATCACCAAGTGTCTTGCTGCGTGCAGCACGAGCCAGTCTTCAGACAACCAGCATCTGCCATTACTGGGCTGAAGAGTTTCTCCTGGTTTTCTCTCTTTTTTTATACCAGCTTTCTTCCAAGCTGCACATAGGTAGCCATTTAGAAGATAATGCTGTAGGAATATTCAGCAATAGCTGAACTGCAGATTTGTTCCATACTCCGCTAAAACACTTCTTGGGTATGACACAAGGACACGATTACCCAATTATTACATAGAGCATGTGGAACATGTTCAAACCTGATACAAGAGTTACTAAAATAGATGACGAGAGTCAGAAAACATGTACAGGTGTGTGCACAAGTGCTATGTCTGAAGTTTCATTTCTGTTTGTCTACAGAATTGTGGCCCTATCTAGAATCTTCAAGGCAACAGTACATATGCAGGTGTATTCGCTGTGTATCTAAAGCAATAGCCCCATCCAACTGGAGCCTCTGCTTTTATAGTAAAATAAGCAATCATCTCAAGTGCTGCTTTCTGAAGGGCTACAGTAATGATTTAGTCAATAAGTATGTTCAGTGTATGAAATTCAGCTTGAACAGCTACCGTTTTTTCCGGGTCTTCAAAAAATTCTCTCGCTTCTTCATAATTACACAGCTCTTCGAAGCATTCTCTTTCCAGGTTATCCGCTGTGAATGCTTCAAAATCAAGCCTGTTGTTCAGAAGATGCCGTCCAATGAATAAATTGGCCTCCTTCTCTGAGGTGAACACTAATAAAACAAATTGAGTTGATTTAAAACAAGTCAGGAAAGCCATGTTTAGTATTTTTAAAGGGTGGTTAATACCCTAAAGGAGCACACTGAGACCCCCTTCTTCCCCTAGCATTTTTCAACTACATACAGGTCTCCTAAAATGCCTCCTTTACTGCTAACTTTTCTAACTATGCAATATAAAATAAACATATTTTCCTTTCTCATAAAGCTTTTCAGCTATGCCTTATACTGGCCAAGAGAAATCGATTCTCATGACAGCTGTTGTTCAGGTTTTGGTATTACCCCTCTGGGATGTGGGCATCAGGTTTTTTTACTGGGGCTCTTAAGGACAAATAATAGTCACATAAAGCAGAAATTCAGTCAGATGCAAACCCAGCAAGACACTGACCTACTGGAGGAAGGAAGCAAGTGGGTAATAAAATGACCAAACCAACAAACTCTTTTTTTCTAGAGAATCCTCCATATATGTTTTCAATATTCTGATATCTCCAAGTTCCAAATTTTGTATAGGGAATTTGCATTTTAAATCATGGCACCACAATCCTGTTCATCTTACATATGTTCTCTTTTCACAATCATGGCAGCAAGTTTTATGTAAAGGTTGGCAAATTGCCAAGTTTGTTTGTTTTAAGTTAGTCCATGATAGGAGTTCTACTGACAACAAGCACTTCTGAAGACGTTTAATTCTTTTCTTCTTTTGTGCTTATTACAGGCTCCATGAGGCCTCGTGGGGTACGTTGTGAGATTCCAGAAGAGTTAGTGAAATTATAGAAGGCTTTGGACTAAAGGAATGCATTTTCTCACCAGGCATTTTCCATAGTCAAGTTTTAGCCTGCTCTTGCTAACAGCTTATTAAAAAAAAAAAAAAAAATCACAAACCCAAACACCTTTGTATGAGAGAACTAGTTTTCTGGCTTGGTTTTCAGTGAAAGCCTAATCTGTACTCCAAGAAATTCAGACTATTTCATTAAGCAAAGTGACTAGAGGATCATTTTTGCGAGTGTAATGCAGAAACAGCATTGTTGCATACCAAGCCAGATGGCTAAAAAAGGAGATGAAATTCAGAATAACATTATTCATCTACAAATTAGCTCTGTGTTCTTGTTAGCTTGTTTGGTGAGATTATCACATCATTCAGGAATTTTTACCCTAATAATGACTGTTAGATCTTGCAATGATATCTCAAAACGCTCTGCTCTCTGCAAACTAAGAAAACTGCCGTATAACTTGCATATTGGTTGTTTATGTCTTTAATATGATAGTATAGTGAGGGAATATGACAGTGCATATTTATATAATGTTACAGTATATACTGAAGGGGCCACACCTGCACACACACATTTGTGTAAGAAGGGAAATCTGATATTCTAAAGTAATCGCAAGAAAATCTAACCTTAAAATATTTATGCTCTATCTTAATAATAACCAGAGAGAAGGACTTCATCTAAAAAGATCCCCCAAACCCAGAAGTGGAAAGGGATAGTATATTTTTCCATGTAATTTTTTTCAATCTCTTGGTTGAGTGTAAATCGCGAGAATAACTTCAATTCTTGGAAACGGAGATCCTCAGTTTTGCTCAGCAGTGTTTCATTCCTTACCATGCGAGTAGTTAGTCACTATACTTCCAGATTAACTTAGGTAACTGATGCATTTTAATTAACCTGGAGCGGATAGACAAGCTGCCTGGAGCCTAGGATCCTCAGTTCCCAGTGATGCATGTTCCTTTTCTCTTTCAAAGAGTCTTTATATCTGCACATTCCTCATTTTGCAGGACACAGTCAAAGTGCACCTATCTCTATCCCTCAATTACCTACAACCTGGTGATTCAGAATTTTGGAGAAGGAAAGGGATGAAGCCTCTCCTATATGTGAGGGAACTGATTGCAGCTCTGCAGTCCTCAGGCCATGGTTCAACAAAATGGTAAATCCAGTTTTAGGATGCTTAGCGTTTAATTAAAGTGCATCCACACAATGTGCTGGATAACGTTAACTCTGCTAGTAAAAGATGCTCAGAACATGCTGAAGGGGTACCCTCTCAATGCAGGTACCCCGTGCTCTTGGCAACTGTTCTACTTGCTACATCGTCAGGAGAGGGTTCTACCCCGGGAACTGGCGTGAAAGAGGCAGCCTGGCCGCCCGACGTTTGATGCCCCAGAGCAATATGGATTTTAATGAATAACCCGTCTCATGCATTTTTCTGCTAACCATGTTCTCTGCTCAACATGCTGCCCTCAAGGAGCCTCCTGCTCAGCGTGATGACTTTTTAAAGTCTGTCTTAAGGTTTTAGTGCTCCTTGCTCACTGAGGAGCCTGGACAGCTAAGTGACTAATTCTTTTGTGAAGCCCTGATGCTTAAATGTTAAGTATTGCATGGCTTAGCATCTTAGTGCTTTAGTCCTTCTGGGAACTTCATTTGATTTTACCGCAGTTCCTCACCACTGCCCTCCCTCCCAGGTGAAGAGCTGCAACAGCAGCACTACGTTTGTCTTTCAAGCTGTTGTAAGGGGATGTGGTATTGAGAAAAGACACCAATCTCAAAAAAAGCAAGAAAATAAACCCTTTCAAATACAAAGCAGTTTTAGATATACAAATAAAACTTATGTGCTCATATAGTACCAAAGCAGTACTGTCATAATACAGATTTCAAACTTTGGGAATTCTGGTGTTACTTAGAGGATTCTGGTTGCATCAATGGCAATAGTCCTGGAAACCTAAAGAAAGCTCATCAGCTGGTCCAATCTGCACTTGCTACTGGATTTGATAAATACTTAATATTGGCACTCAGGTCAATGATCAAATTATCAGCAAAAGATATTTAAATATTCTAAAATTAAGCCTGAAACAG